GTAGTAGTAGTAGTAGTAGTAGTAGTAGTAGTAGTACTAGTAGTAGCAGCAGTAGTAGTAGTAGTAGTAGTAGTAGTAGTAGCAGTGGTAGTAGTAGTGGTAGTGGTAGTAAGAGTAAGAGTAGTAAGATGCGTAATGGTACTAGTAGTAGTAGTAGTAGTAGTAGTAGTAGTAGTAGTAGTAGTAGCAGGAGTAGAAGGAGTAGCAGTAGCAGTAGCAGCAGTAGTACCAGTGGTAGTAGTAGTAGTAGTAGTAGTAGTATTTAGTGTTTAGTAATAGTAGTAGTAGTAGTAGTAGTAGTAGTAGTAGTAGTAGTAGTAGTGGTGGTGGTGGTGGTGGTGGTAGTAGTGGTGGTAGTCGTAGTAGTAGTGGTAACAGTAGTAGTAGTAGTAGTAGTAGTAGTAGTAGTAGTAGTAGTAGTAGTAGTTCTTTTACTAGTAGCTGTAGTACAGTAGTAGTAGCAGTAGCAGTAGCAGTAGTAGTAGTGTTCGTATTAATCGTGTTATTCGCATTGGTGCTAGCTAGCACTATTACTATAAGTAGAATTACTAGTGTGAATATGATTATGTTTGATATGATGGATCGTAGTCCTGTTGGAATGACGGCTAATGGTAGTATTATCTGTAGTGCAATTATTCATTGTATCGGTATTCTGAGTATCAGCATTTTGATTACTTGTCCTTGTTATTATTCCTCCTCCTCCTCCTCATCATCATCATCACCATCAGCATCGTCAGCATCATCATCAGCAGCAGCATCATCATCAGCACCAGCATCAGCATCATCATCGTCAGCATCAGCATCATCATCAGCATCATCATCATCAGCAGAATCCTCATCATCATCCGTCTCATCCTCTACCTCATGATCCTCCTCCTCCTCCTCTTCCCCCCTCGTCCCTGCTCCTCGTTCTCCCTCCTCCTCCTCCTCCTCCTCTTCCTCCTCCTCCTCCTCATCCTTCCCCTCCTCCTCCTCGTTCTCATTCTCGCTTTCCTTACTCAAGCCATTTGGGCTCGAGCACCATGCTGGCGCACAGGACCCCCGCACTTCCCAGCAGGGCTTGAGGGACTTGGCCCATGGCGGCCCGCCACACCACCAGAGCCCCGACCAAGACAGAGGCAGGTAACGTGCCCAGCCAGCCGCCCTGGTTCCCTTTGTTGCAAAACCGTTGTGGAGCAGGTGCGGATGTGGGCAATGTGAGTGGAATGATGTGCTGGTCATGAACAAATTGGCATGCCCAAGCTGCAAGGTCAAAGTGGAGCTGTATCAACAACCCCGTGGGCGCAAGGCGTCTTTCAGCCAGCGCGCTCCGACGACGAGTTTCTCGACTGCTACGAAGGCGACGACGGTGCGCACGTGCAGGACATCCTCAAGTCCAGCAGCCGCAGCAACTCCCCCAGTAGCGGTAGCGTCACGCAGCGCCGCTTGGGCAGAGGCAAAGGCTCAGGCTCAGAGGTGTCCAACATTATCCAGAAGACCCGCCCCGCCACAGAGGACCAGGACCTACAGATCACGCTGAGCTTCCAGCTCGCGCGCTTGGAGAAGGACAACATCACTCAGAATGCGGCATCGCACAACCCCATCGTGGCTCTGCGGTTGGCGGACATGGTGGGCAGGAATGCGAGTCATCTACATAAACACGCTGTTGCATTGGTCTTACGACTTCGCTCGAGCTTGGCAGCGGCGGAGTTGAAAGAGCAAGCAGCGGCCATGAAGTTGGCAGACGCCAACGAAGCCAAGACCAACGCGGCGCAGGCGCTGGCAGTCTCAGAGGGAGTGCATTCGCAGTCCCAACTCCCAGGACGGCAGTGCGAAGGGCGACGAGCCCATGTTCAAGTTCGAGTGGGACCAGAGCTTCTTTGACAATCTCGCGGACATGGACTGCACCGACGCGGAGCGCCAGAGCCTCGAGGAGTTGCACCAGGGCCTCAGCACGACGCACTCCCAACTCGAGGCCAAGAGCAAGAAGATCAAGGCGCGGCTGGCGTAAGCTCAAGCCGACCAGAGGGAGATCCCGGCGAGGAGGATAACGAAGAAGCGCAGGTCAAAGGAGCTCAAGCTTTTCACAGCATAGCGCGCGTTACGTAGCGGGGTGGGTAAGTGGGTTCGCTGGCGCATAACATAACACAGTCGTGCCCGGCCGTTCGAATGTTTGTTATGAGAGCAGCGTATGCGATGCTATTCCTGGTACTGGTGTAGCGAGATGGCCTTGCAGCTGCGAAGTGGTTTCTCGGAGGCAGTTTTGGAAGCCTCCTGGGGGCAGTTTGGGGCCATCTGGGGGGTTCGTTCTTGGCCTCTTGAGGGCCTCGAGGGGCCTCGAGGGAGCCTCTTGGCTTCCCTTGGGGGCCTCTTGGGGCCTCCAGGGGGGCCTCTTGGGCGGAGGGCTCGAATTTTGTCGGTTCGCGTCCCCCCTCTTGGGCCACCCTTGGGGCCCTACACCCTGCGAAATGCTTAAGAAATCATGGGTTAAGAAATTCATAGTCTCAGAACTGGAATAGAAACCTAAGATTTCCATTAAAATCTTAAGATTTACATTGAAACGTTAAGAATAATCGAGACCCTGGCCGAAAACTTAAGTTTCCTTAAGCATCGCCTAAAGTGTACTGGGCGTTTCTGGGGCCGCTGTGGGCCGGGGCCCTTTTGGGGGTCTCTTGAAAAGGTTTCGGGGGCCTCTGGGGCCATCTTGGAGCGTCGGAAGCCCAGAACGCGAGAGCGCGAAAAAAATATAATAATTACGCTACCGAGGGACCCCACATACTTCGATTATGGCCGGAGTGCTGACAGCTGAAGTGAAGCATGTGAGAATGATGCTGGTGGCTGTTGCCCCGCCGATACCGTTGGTGACGCCAGTCAAGAGGAGAGGAGGGAGGAGAGTGGAGAAGAGATTTGACAAGTTCTGTTCAGTACACATGGAAAGCGATCTGCGACGCCCACGAGGCAACGAGCACTATGGAACGCGATTTTCGGCGGAAAGCCTCTGATCAGGTCTGAGAGAAACGAAAATGCTCGGCGGCCCCCAGGCCCGCTCGGCGGGCCCCGGGCCCGCTCGGCGGCCCTGGGCCCGGCGGGCCACCAGGTCCATCTGCGGCCCTGGAGGCCCCAGGCGCTCGACTCGAGCGTGCAGTCTCCCTCCTCCCCTCGCTTCCTCCGTCCTCCGCCTCCTGTCCTCGTCCTCCCTCTCCCTCGGAATGGTGGTACGATATGTTGCTCGGAGCCGGCAGGTCCATTCACGGCTGCGGAGGCCCCAGGCGCTCGACTCGAGCGAGCAGTCGCCAGTGAATACTGTCCAAGAAGAATGTGCCACGCTTCCTGCAGTCCCCTCCGAAGTCGAGAAAGTGCCACGACTGTTGAGCCTCCAACATTGGCGCGTGCAGGGACCGCGGTGCAAGACCACCCCATGCGCACCCCCTATGGTGACCAAGAAAGAGCACGCCTGCTAGGCTTTGCGACAGTGTCATGGATAGCGGCCGCGCTGAGAGACCACCCCCTGCGCAACCCCAAATGGTGTCCAGAAAGTGCCACGCCTGCTAGGCTTTGCGACAGTGTCGTGGATAGCGGCCGCGCCCAGAGACCACCCCCTGCGCACCCCCTATGGTGTCCAGAAAGAGCCACGCCTGCTAGGCTTTGCGACAGAGTCGTGGACATCGGCCGCGCTCAGAGACCACCCCCTGCGCTCGCCCCATGGTGTCCAGAAGGTTCCACGCCTGCCGGGCGTTGCGACAGTGTCGTGGATAGCGGCCGCGCTCAGAGTCCACCCCCTGCGCACCCCCGTGTATGATGCCGTCAACACGTCAAGGATGCGCTAGTGATTGTGTTGCGTGCGTCTGGTGTGTCTCATGTGGGTGCCCATTATGTAGTGCATGCGTCTTGGCTGTGTGATGCGGTGAACACGCCAGTCGCGCACTGGCGTTGCCAGTGTGTGTGTGTGTGTGTGTGTGTGTGCGCGCGTTTGCTGTTTCTGTGTGTATGTGTGTCTCTGTGTGCGAGGAGAGGGAGAAGGAGGAGGAGAAGGAGAAGGAGAAACGCGGGTGAGACGCGGCAGGGAAGAAAACCAGAACCCCACGAAGCATGTGGGGAAAATACACAAGGGACATCACTGATATGTGCCTCTTTGAGCCCTCTTGGGGGTCATCTTCGAGCGTTATTAGGGGCTTCTTTGGGGCGTCTTGGGCCGTCATGGGGCCATCTTGGGCGTCCTGGAGCGCTCTCAGGCTGTCTTGGAGGCCTCTTGGACCCTACTGGGCGCTTTCTGGAACCATCTGGCCTCTCTGGGCCGCCTCTGGGAAGCGAATCGGGAGGGTATCGAAAAGCGTTCCCGGATGGTTGTGGGCTGGGCGCCCCCAGGCTGGAGCTTCTTTCTAGATAGATATACGATTGTGGAAATGTAGGTCGAGCAAGTTGAGGCCATATCCTACAGTGTGCAGCATCGCAGAGACGAGTGCGAACCACACGCGAGTCATGAACAACACAGCGTTCGAACACTGAGCGAAAATTGTCC